ACTATATCTTACCGTAAAAACAAGCAAGTCAAGATGCAGTAGAGCCGTTTAAGAACTACTATTGCATAGCAGAGCTACAAAAACCGCCGCATGATGTGATAAGGGAGTGGTGGGAATAGGCACACGTGATCACATCATCAGACTGAGGCAACTTCGACTGTCAGAAGGCGCGGTTTGGAATCACTGAAGTCTCGAGAGGCATATTATTGCCACCATGTACATTTACATCGAGAGTGATTCCACACCGTCTGTTCTTCATCTGATGGGGCTGGTTCTTCTGATTTAGCTGTGACTGTGCTGCACATTTATATGCTCATTAATTACACTTCATCCAACTGTTAATCAGCAAAACAGGGTGATGTCGAAATGAGGGATCACTTTTTTCGCAGGGCCAATTGAAGAAGTTCATTGACTTTGATTTCGTGAGTGAGGCTAATGTGACAGGCTAAACACCTCCTTTTACCTCGACAATTAGTTTTCACTGCATATTTAACAAAAAGGCGAATGGTTGGGTTGAATTACGCGAGACGCTTTTCTTGGTCATCAAGCTTACAGTAATCTCTGGAAGCAGTGTAAATATGCTTTCCTTCTTGGCGGTGAATAAATAAACTGGGTTTTGGACAATGTAGGCAAATTCACGGAACATGGGAGAATTTTTCTGCAAGTTCAAACATGTTTCTTTCAGCCACGTGCTACTTTGTGGTGCGGAGAGCGAGGTTATGGATCAAATTCCACATTTTTACGAATTTCATCTCCTGCTAAGCTTCACATAATTCGGCAAAGATTTTCAAATTGGCACGGAAATGAGTGTAATGGTAGACCTCTCTTTCATTTAAAATTCACTCAAACAAAACGAAGTTTGAGGTCATGAAGGCAAAACCTTGACTTTAATTCAAACGCAGCCATCTTGTCACCTGAGTTCCTCAAGATTGGGCAGAATTCCTTGACACCCAGTGCTCTGGAGAGAAGTGTGAATTAACAAAGGTGGTTTTTAAGGGAAGCTGGAATGTTTCATTGTTAGTGTTGCGATTATAATATTCATTAGATGTAATACTTTATTTATTTGTTTTTAATTTCAGTTTTCGTAACGGGGTGGCTTTAGAGATCCACCAATAGAACTTTGCCAGGAGACCTGGGCTTCCGGGTTGTGCCAATAGCCTCAAATCCTTTTCTACATCGACAACACATATTCTGTCCCAACATTTCGTCCTTTGTTTTCTTCAGAGAGGTCTCAGAGTGTTTCAAATAGTTCAGAATCAAATTAATTCATTTTATTTTAATGACAGGCCCTCATTAATGATGCTTTCTCACTCTTACTTGCGTTTTACTGCATATTTTCTTCGTAAAGGTGAAGTCCTTTCGCTTTCATGATTTTCACTACCTAACAAGTTCTACTCATATCCACAGTAAGTAGCTGTCAATTTTCTCAGTTAAGATGAGAGAGGATGGGGGAGTGAAGCAAGGAAAGATACAGTCTCCAGTGGGACCTGGTCTATCCGATCGTCAGGTGGAAATAGAGGCCAGAAGTTCCATTCTAAAAGGGCAATGATGTGCACATTTTAATTCCATGTGGATAGATGACGGACAGGAAGGAACATTTGTGAATGCACTGCCCTTATTTTTCCCCAAATTGGTTTTAGTGCTCCATTAATTTAAAAGTATGTGACAAAAGAGCATAAGATAATAGGAAATAACAGAATGTGGGCAACCGGTTCCAGCATGTCTCCCCTGATCACTTATTCAGCAAGCAAAATTAAGTCGGGACAATTATTTTACCACTATTTGTTGTCCCTACTTCAAATTTAAAGGCATTTTTAAATGCGATAATTCTTTTCAGGAGATTTAAAACAACGCATTAGTGGCTAGATTCACTGAAGCATATATAATAGGTACGGCTTTTGTCTCCCTACCTCCGCCTCCACACCTTTTAAACGAGTGGACTAGTTAGATGAAAGCATATTCTAATTGATGCTAGCAAACGGGTACAGAGGATTGCGGTTATACCGGTTAGGAGTTCGCTCTTTCTCTCTAGGTGGTAAATGGTGTCCGCTGTATTACCGCTTCTCGCCCGAAAAGTACATTCACACAAAACTGTTTACACTTAGAGATCGGTAAAGACGCGGAGCTGAAGGCTGCGCTATTGTGCCTTCGGCGGGCGGCTTGGTCTTTGGGCCATGCCAGTAGCCGCCTAGCCCTTCCGTACGTCAACAATGTTCTTCGTTCTAGCACTATGACTTTCTCCGACTTCAGACAAGAAAAGAGGCACCACAGTATCAACACCTCCCGGCACTTTCATACTCCAAAACACAAACCGTTCCTGTGAAAAAATGATGCATAATTGCAGTCTTATAAAGTTTCCGTGGATCGAATTTAAAAACTGATCCTATATATTCCACCTGATTGCTGCAAAGAGCACGACATTCTCGTGATTTGTTGAAGTGGGATTTACATTTCTGAGAGCCTCTTTTCTGACTGGACGTAGAGGTAATGAAATTTGCGAATTAGCAAAGCCTCTTTCATGCTCCGTTGAACACAAGTAGGTCCTCAAATCCGCTGCTAAGGCTTCGAGGGAAGTAGGAAGGTGGGTCATAAAAACACACTTAGAGAGAGAGGGAGAAGGAGTAAAATCATGTTCCCAGAAGATCCTCTGCAAACTTTGAAGCTGTGCTTCACCGTCAAAATTGAATAACTACATGATTACATTATGTGGGGCCCTCTGACGTAAATGGAAAGTACCGCTTTGAGGTCAAATGGGGTGTGTTGGAAATAATCCGGTGAAAGACAAGCTATAAATACAAATTTTTTAACAATGTGCCAAGTTTTGGTTCTTAAAGCCAGATCAAACGTAATACTTTCTCGTATACCGTCAACAAAAGCACAAAAGTTTTGACTCCCCCATCAATAAACTGCGTGTCTCATGTTAGATGGTGTATGAATAGAGTGTGGGGTTAACATGTGACATGGTACTTGTGTACATAGTCCAAGCAATTGACACTCAGAGATGAAACGATCTAGAGATGGCACGGTGACAATGCCATTTATGGTAGACGTGATAAATGGGCTTGCTGATGTGATTCATGTTGGCAGAACACACAACTTGAACTTAGATTGCCTGAAAAAAGGGCGTCTTTTAGGTGGAAAATGCCCAAAGCCGTTCACATGACCTGATTCTACATAGAAGAATGAAAGATCTTTTACATACAGTAATTAACCGTGGTGAAAACAGCCCCATTTACTAAAACGATAGTGCAAAGCGTAGGTAAACAATCTTGACAAGTAGAAAAGGTAATGTCTTATCTAAATCATTGTTCTTAGTTAATACATCATTTCTGTTTGTTGGTGGCTTATAAAAATAAACTGTGTGATCTTGCAAGGTAAAAAATTGACAAGCCTGTGATGGAATTCATTGGATTGTCTGCCACTCATTTCAAAGTGCCAATTCGGCCAATTGGTTTAAAGATAAAAATTGCTACCACCTAAACGGATGAAATAAAGTTGGTCTCTAGCGGTAAAATAGCTTGGCACAACACAAATAAGGTAGATTTATTATATCATCTCTCCGCCCTCCCTAGCTCTGCCCGTTTCCATTTGACTTAATGTGTTTTTTCGCCTAGAGTTCCACAAAATTGAGTTAGGTTTAGATTGAATTCAAGACAACTTTTTGTAACTACTGCATTGACCCAAGGCTTTCTAAAAACAAAAGAGATAATAATCAGCGTAATATGTATTGCCTATCAACCGAAGAGCTGGGGGCTGCAGGCTTGGTCTGGAGACAATGCCCGCCCAATAAAAGCACAGTGGCGAAGTCCCTGTGTGATTGGTTGCCAAAATGGAGAGTTAAAAGAACAGCGTCGAGGTTAGGCTTATTTATACCGCCTCACAATCATCCACCCCTAAACACGTGGTGTGTGATAAATTCAAAGAGAATGGGACCCTGTTTCGGTGCCCAGTGGGCTACGACATTGCCAAGACGTCCCTTTCTTTGGTGCTTACCTGATCTTAAAATTATCCCAAAATCGATGATTGAAACGTCTTGGCTTTCCTTTTTCTTCTTTTTCCCTAGGTAGAAATAAGGAATTGATAAGAAAATCAAGGGGAAATATTAGGTGATTTGTTTGGTGATACATGAAAACGGGATCTACTGACTTACTTTTGAAAAAGTCTATTAAGAACTGAATCACTAGAATTTGGACTTTTTTTTACTTTTTAAACAGATCAAAAATTTGTTTCGCCTTTTCGTGCTGACCGCAGGTCAGCCAGTCAGTCACTCAGTCATGGGTCACAGTGAGGTCACGGAAAAATCTACATGTCACTTTGGTTGTGACCTCGACAATGCGACCTGCTTTTACGGCGTTAGTCATCACTGTTTTCCTTCCATTGTTTACTAAACTATCGATTTCGATAACAGACCAGCTAAGGGCTCATCCTTTGTACTTTCGCCGAATGACTTGACCTACAAGGCATGTCAGTAATCATTCAGCCATTCTGTATGTCGTCAGTAAAATGTCGTCTTTCTTCTTCACAAAAGTCCCGTAGTGCTAAAATCACCTCAATTACGAATCTTTTAACAGTTGAAGGTCATCTTAATTTTCGTGAAGATTCTCATTAAAATGGAGGAATTGGCCGACAAATAGGCGACCTTAAATAAGGGATTTAATCTTTCTCGAATGCAAGGCAAAACAAATAGGTGGATAGTTCCACTCCATTAAAATGTGTTTTTAAAGAATAGACACTGAACATAAGGAGCGTCAGCAACAGCTGTATCGCCTGGAGACTTCCTCGAAGACAAAAGAAAATGTATAACTCCGACAGAATCTGCGGTGTAGGTGCACAGAACGCCTTGGGGCTACCGACAAGGCTGCTATGCGCAGGTACAATAGAGAAGTAAAAAAACGTGGTCGTTGTGATTTGAAAAATTTTGACATAATGATTTAACCACCATTGTTGGGTTCTGGGGACAAGTGATGCTTCAAAAATCTTACTTTTATTAAGTAGGAAGAGATTCTACTCCTGAAGCCAATTTCCATCTAATCCTTCATTCCAAATCAAGTTTTCTCACAATGCAAAAATTCTATTGCTCTTCATTTTGAGATGATCAAGTCTGAGAGCATGACATAAATATTTGGAGCTTATGAAGCCAGTTTTTCTCTTTTAAATGAATAGGCTTGTTAGGCGTAATTAAAAACTGTCAATTGTACATCGACCATCTACTGAACATCATGGTGCTTTGTCTTGATGCCAAACTTTCAAACTACAAGACGAGGAAATCTATGAAGGGTGGGACTTTGATATGGAGCTAGAAGTAGATCCAGCATAACTTGTAATAAGTTGGGTAGGAAGAAGCAATCGCATTATTGGGCGTGGTGGAATAATCTGCCCGCATTGTAGTTAGAGAAACAATCAGAAGGGAGAAAAGGTTGGGAGGAAATACTCAACAGGAGACGCAGCAAGAGAATTTACGTGCCATATTCCTGATTAACTCTCTATTATTGGCTATGGATCACTTGAGGGCTCCGCCAATGACCTCTGCCGAGAGACCTGGCCTCCAAACTATGCCAGTAGCTACCAAGTACCTCTGCTTGTTGGCAGTGGATTTTCTGCCGGAGTATCATATCTTCTTTTGTCTTCGGGTAAGTCTTGTGTCAATACATCTTCATCCACGTTATGGAAACCTACGATCCAAGCAGCAATTGATGAGATCAAATGGAAAACCAGCCTTGACTGCTGGTTAGAATGGAACACCAGCACGTCTTCTTTTTACTCTAAATAGGCTTCTCCTATCTGTCTTCCTCTTCCCCTTGGAGTCACAGCAGCTGCGGATATAAGTAGAGCTTGTAGGACATTAAGAATTATGAAATCAAAAAAGTAGGTTCACCCTGATAAAATAAGTAGTTTTTTTGCAAGATCCAACGTAAGATCCTTGTCTATGGGAGTCTACAACTGTAAGGAAAATACTTGAATTGATCTCTACCATACATAGCGCCGTGCAACCTCTCTGAATACGAAAGAAGACATAGTACTCGGGCAGAATATATATCGTTGACCTGCGGAGGTGCTTGAACTCTACTGGCATGACTTGGAGGTCAGGCCTCACCATGGGTGTACAATGGCGGGGCCCTCAAGTGGACCATTACCCAAACCGAGCGTTAATCGAATGATTACAGTGCTATAAATAAAGTAAGTCACAATTGCAAGGTCAATGTTTTTTCTTTCTGCCAAGGAGAAAATGTCAAGGAAACATCCTGACCTTCTCCAAAAGCCACCGCTTGTTAACTTTACAATCCGCGCTTGAGACGGTTTTTTCCAAAATGGAGACATTCCAATGCCAGAGCAAGTGCGCACGAAATCGGGGCCAAAGTTCTAACTTTCCGACTAAGGGTTGTATTTCGTTTGAGTGACTAGCGAATGGTTAACTGTTAAGTGAAGGCTGCATCTATCACTGTACTCATTTCCGCGCCGGTGTGCAAATCAGCTGTCAAATTACATGTAGCTCAACAGGGAGTACGCTTCATGTAAATATAGAATCGCTTCCATATTCCTTCGCCACTCCATTCATTAAAAGAGAAGTAATCTATGGCTGAAGGAAGATTGCTTGAACCTAGTGACAATTACTCGCCTTTTCGTGATTCTGATCACAAATATGTCAATTACATCCTCAACATGAGACGATTCTACACGATTTCGTAAATTTGACCACATCATATAATACCGCGTTTATTTGCAGACAAGGATTGCACATTTAAACCACCTTTTGGAAAATCCTCAGAATCCACATTTGTGCTTCATGTCTAAGGAAGTCGCCCTACGGTGTTCAAATTGCTCATTTATGTGCAAATGGAAACGCAGCTAAGAATATAAACAAAAAAACATTTGTCGAGGCAAAAAAAGGCATAAGCATAAAAGGGTCAGAAAAAAAGGGTCACTCGCTCGAAATCTGCGATCACCAAATCAAAGTCGCTTATTTATTTTACCTGACTCACCAATTGTGACAACATCCTTGAGAAGTGCCATTTGGTGTGAAAAAATCGCCTTAACGAACAATAAACATGCTGGAGTTAAATATGCAGCACAGCAACTGATAAATCAAATAAAAACCAACACTTTCAGGTAAAGAATTAACTGCTTGGATTCAGTAGTAGTGAGAATCTGCATGATGGAAATGATACGCTTTTCGAGACTTCAGTGATTTCAGACCTCACCTGCTAACAGCCGAAGTTGCTTCAGTCTGGCGTTATTATCAACTGTGCCTATGTCTACCTCTGTCTTCCCCAATCAAAGAACTATTTTAATAACTTCTCCCTAGAATAACCAGTCTTAAACGGCGGTATCACCTCGTGACTTGGTATACTTATACGGTGCAAACTAGACAAATGATGCCTCTATACGGAACGTCTTTGTATGGCGTGTTAATCTTAGGCCCTCCAAGGCAGGTAAAATATCCTTCAACTCCCACCAAGGTTAAGTTTTAGCTTTATACTGCTAATATGAGTGCGCACCGAAAGAAATGCAGGAAATGCAAGATATTTTGTTTATTCCAGCTTCATCTTTCACGTACCCCCTTTGACAGCTGATAGGAGGGCCACGTGAGCAAGTGAATGCGTGGGAGCTGACGAGATAATTGTGGGAGACTCCCATGTGGTGCATGTGACAGTGACAGGAGTGCAGCAGCATTTATTAAAGCCAATCTTTCACTCATTTAAATGGAGGGCCTTTCAGGTCAAATAATGGCTCTAAGCTTTAAAAAAATTGGCAAATTCATTTGGCTACAATGGTGTTTTGCTTGATAGGTTTTGGAATTCCTACCGCCATTTATAATTAGTTTTCACGCCAGATTGTTACTTGCATTCTGATGACGAATGCTAGTAGGCAATTAAGCAGAGCAAACCATATAGCCATAAATTACATGTGTTTTCACTATAATTTATCCTGTTTTCTGCGTTCAAATTCAAAGGGTAAAAGATCCCCTTGCACTTGGATTTTTTGTGTTATGTGGAAAAGGTCTTCAAGGAGGTAGAAATCCATGTGAATACTTTAAAACGACTTTTAATGGGATAGTAACTTGGCTTTTATTTTTGGATAGAGCCTATAATTTTCTACCGACATGCTGTGGTGATAAAATTAAAGCGCCATTTGAGGGTTTGGCTTGTTTTTGGTGTGAGATAGACTATTGCCAATAGGCAGTCACATCAGAGTTATTTGACACCGTAGTATGTAAATGTAGAGGCAATAATTGTAAACTTTTTGCACCTTGTTAACCACTTCCCCCCTGGACAGTAGGCGATTTGCCATAGATTCTTAAATAGGCAGTATGGCAGTGAACCAAAGCGCTTTCTTTATATGAATAGGCATCTCAGTGATGGGCAACTTCCCAATCATCTTTTTAAACTGCAAAGTTAAAAGGAACAAAATTATTTTATTAATGAATGTATCATGAGGTGGTTTTAAAAGCCTTTTAAAAAATAATGTTCCTAAAATGGGACCTGGAAGATCACAAATAGGAGGACAAAGCGGTTAATGTAAGTTTAAATTTTCGAGAAAAACAGACAAGTGAGATATGTGGAGTAACACGCACGAAATTCTTTCTTTTATTAAAGACCGAAAAAAGATAGCCGTTTGAAAGGATAGCTCATATGTCACAACATTTGAAAGACGGCCATGAAGATCTCCGTTCAACGTCCACTTGAGATAGATCTATCAATGAAGGTGTTGGTGGAATAAGTTGATTACGAACGACCACGCAGTGTCATCACATTTTCCTCCCTTCACATGATCCCCGATCTCTTCGATAACTTTCCGTCTTCCAAGCGCTCATCCTCTGGTCATAGTGAATGCTTATGACAAAAATTGTTTGTCAGTTGATTTAATACATGTCAAAGAGAGTGGACTTGCAGCAAAAGAGTGTGTAACAGCTTCACAAGTCCACAGATATTTTGTCCGGTAATAATTTTTGCATTAGATTTGTCATTCTTCGATGTCGGCGAGGCCGCCTTTGAAATAGATCCACTTCCTTATAATCAACTGTAGGTGGTTTTTCAAGTCAGTCAAATCATACAACCCCACCTAGTAAGGGCGGAAATAGGAGTAAGATAGAGAGGGCTTCTTTGAGAATAGAAAAAGGTACCATTGGTACTAATTTTTCCTCCTTCTTGCCTTAAATTCTGTGATTCCGAAAATAATGAGGCAAATCTACCAATGCGATATTGCAAAATCGAATAACAGAGCATCGGATTATACGAAGAACGCATTGAATTTTTTATTCTCTTAATTCAATCATAATGAATTTGGATGATGCCTGATCCGACGACTAAATACGTCTGCGTCATAGGGAGAATTTATCCGACTAGTTGGTTTTAAAATCTACAAGCATTTGTCAGTTTCCTTTGTCAACTTTACTTCACGATTCTCCTTTTCATTTGACAAGTGTTTGAATAACAGTTGAATATTTATTAGGCTCCGGTGCTGTATTGCCGCCGGGAGGCCTGGTCTCCAGGCCATATCGGCAGCCCTCATGCCCTTCTTTGCGCCGACAGGACACGTCTACTCGTGTCTTCAGGAGAGTCTCGGGCTGCAACAGTACCTCCAACTCTCAGCACTTTTGTGCGTCTAAAAGTAGACCTGTTTTCCAAAATAATTTTGCCTCTTTACATCTTCGAGGAAGACGAGGAGTGCTATACAAACAGACAATAGCGTGGGTAAAATCTAGGTACTTCTAGGTAACAAAATAGTTTTTACAAACAAGGAGAAATATCCCTATCCATCTCTCATGCAGTTTTGTGATAATCCTGAAATTGGTGCTGCAAATTTTACCTGAATACTGCATGGATTCCTGATAGCATCAATGTCTTCTTCATTTTATTAGATTGGCTATGGGAAAAGTATCGTTTTGATTAAGAATCCTGCACTTTTACAAGTCGAGAGTCGAATTTAGTAGAAGTGGGACTAAGATGATTGAATTCGGCAACAATCTAATCTAAATTGTCAAAATAATTTCACTCAACCTACCTTTATTGGGAAAAAGGGACAAAAGTTACCAGTAGAACGTTGAAACAACTTGGAGAAATGAAGAATTTCGGTGTTAAATTAACGGACTAGGGGTGAACTTGGCTTTTGAAATGGAATTTATTTTTACTTGATGAAGGTAAGATTTCTAAGACATCAATTGGGCCCTTTACCCTAACAGTAGTAATTAAATTATCATGGGAAATTTTTATTGTTTTGATGGTTGTGTAATGCTCCACTTGTTTGACTCTCGGTTTTAGGGAACAGTCCAATTTGAGGCGCCGCCATTATACCTCCGTTAAACAGTCTAGCCTGGCTTCTGGGTCTTGCCAATAGCCCTAAGCCCTTCTTCACGTCAACACTAAGTATTCCGGCATATGATTATGCCTTTTTTGTCTTTAGGGAAGTCTTGAGGCGATACGGTTTCTACTGCTGTTTCTTACGTTCAATGCAACTGACGGCGGAGAGCGCTCACTTTATCAAGGCATATTTTGCATTGCTGAACTCCCTTGACAGGCCGTAATTTTCCACCTACTAATCTCGACCCCTCATTTGTGAAAGATTTAATCACTATTTCAAGTTTCACTGAACACCTACGTACACCTATTTAGCCACCATTTAATTCATCGTAATGGAGATCTTTATGACAAGCTAAACAGATCTTTTGGCATTACAGAATTGGGAACTAATTTCATTTTAGCACCCAAGACTTTTTTAAAGGCAACAGAAGTCATAGTACTTGCTTTGGCGATATACAGAAGGGCTGAAAGGCTATCATCTCGCCTAAGAGGTCAGGCCGCCCGGTGGAAGTTCACTGGCGGAGCCATAAGGACCCCTTTACAAAAACCGAGAGTTAAATAAACACATTTACACAGTGATATCCAACATGTGGTAAAAACAGACCACAATGTCGAGGCCACAGCCAAAAACGTGTTGCTTTCGTTTGCTTGACCTCACTGTTATCGATGGCTGACTGACTAACCTGCGGTCAACAAAAAACAGGCAAAACAAATTTACAAACAGTTTAATAGAAATAAAAAAATGCAAATTCTAGAGCTTTAGATGAATGCCTCATTACTCTAACGAATCGCCTATCATTTTCTGGTTGTTTTCATACACTTTTCATAAGCTCAACTACGAAGGACCAGAAAAGGGAATTGCTAGGACGTCACAATCACCATTCTTAGCAGAGCTTTCAAGATATCATGCCTGTAGGACTCATGCCTATATGGTAACCTTCGAAAGGGGCGCCTTGGCAAACTCCCATCCTATCTGACACTGAAACAAAGTCTCACAACCATTGCCTTTCACCATAGACCACGTGTTTATCAGTCTATGTTTGTAAGGGTATTGGATCAAACCTAATCTCGGCGTTTTGGTGCAATATTTCAATTATTTTTTTAAAAAAACTTGGCTTAGGTTACGCAGGCACTTGAGGGCTTCGCCATTATACCTCCTTTAGGCGACCTCACTTTCGGCCCATGTCAGCAGTCCACCCTTCCCTACGTCAACAGACCACGCTCTGTCGGGGTGTTATGCCGTCGATTGTCTTCAGGGCAGTCTTGG